TTCCAGCCGTTGATTGGGTAATACAATTAGATGCTCCAGGGAATGCTGACACATACATTCATCGTGTGGGACGTACAGCAAGGTATGAGGCTTCTGGGCTTGCACTGCTATTTCTGTTGCCAAGTGAAGAAGAAGGGATGAAGAAAGCTTTAGAACAAAAGAAAGTCCCAATTGGAAAAACTAAGGTTAAACGGAGCAAAACAATGAGCATACAGAATCAATTACAATCTTTTTGTTTTCAAGATCCTGAAATTAAATATCTGGCACAGAAGGTTAGTAACGATTAAATCAATGTACAACTTTTTTTAATGAACATGTATATAGACCATTTCTTTGTTAAAAATTTTTCATATATTACATATCAGGCTTTTATATCATATATGCGGTCAGTTTATCTTCAAAGTGATAAATCTATATTTAAAATCGACGAATTACCCGCAGAAGAATTTTCCGCTTCTCTTGGGTTACCTGGTGCGCCAAAAATTAAATTCGTTAAAGTAACGTATTATTATAATTTAATATCACATTATCTGCATAGTTTCTCTAATTATATATTATTATATAGAAATCGCAATTAAAGAATGCTATTCGTGAAAAGCCTAAAGAAATGACTGATGATGAAAATTCGGAGGATAACAAATCATCAGACTCTGACGATGCTTCCGATGAAGAAAAAAAAAAGAACTCAAAACCCAAAACTAGAATTGAAAGAATTTTTAATCGTAAAAATATGTCCGTTTTCACTGATCACTACAAAAAACTTGTGGATCAAGAAAGTGACAATCTTGCACATGAAGACGATGAGTTCATTACTCTTAAACGTGTTAATCATGAACTGTCTACGGAACTAGAACAAACGGTAATGTATTACTTGAAATAATGTTATTATCATATTGTGATCAATAATATAGGAATTATCTGTCAAAGATTTTTATAAGTTGTTACCACAATATGATTAATAACAATATCAACTGTCTGCCAATGACTACCTATTGTGGCAGAGAATTTTAATTGTTTTTCAATTTTGGATTCATCTGTTATTTTAAAATTTTCGTTTATATAAAACAAAAATTGAAAAATAGTCAAAATCATCCGTCATAGTAGAATAGCAGGAATAGTGAGATTACTTATTATTTATTTCGGGTTTATTTTTTTATGATCATTATTTGTTAGAATCGTGATAAATTGTCAAAACGTAAGCTTTTGAAGGCCAAATCAAAGAAATTCGCGATCAAGAATGCGCCTAGGGGAAATAAGCTAGTATTCGATGATGATGGAAATGTAATTACAGTTTTGTTTAAATCTAATATATTTGTCATTTCAGTTTATTTATGATCTCTGTTATTTTTAGCCTCATCAAGTATATGAGTTTCAAGATGAAAAGGCGTTCCTTGATAATGCATTAGCGCAAAAGCAAACATTTATTGAAAAAGAATTAGAAGTAATGAAAAAGAAGGATGAAGTGGATAAAATGACTGCCAGAGAGAAAAAACGTAGAAAATTAAAGTAATAGCACCACATGTAATGCTACATGACATTATTTAATATCATAAATAAATATATGTTGCACTATATCTGATATTAGTATGAGCGTAGGTTTAAAATCGACTCTGAGATACTTCAGATCAATATACAGTAAGCGCTGTATACAGTACCCTCTTGAAAATATGCATGTTCGTGCGGACAGACATGAAATTTTAAAATTACATTTTTTGATACAGTATAAGACTAATGATTTAATCAAAAACGTAACTATTTATGCACCAAAAATTATCATGACTCATAACTATTGATGCATCAAAAACGTAACTTTAATATCACCATTACTCGTAACTTTTGTATCACATGACTAAACATTAAATGTCCTCCGAACAATGAGAAGGGACCTACCGATAATTTATTTTCTAAGATTGCAACAGCCTATCATTCAAATAAAGAATCATGGGAAATTCTAGAATATAAAATAAAATGATAAGAGATTAAACAACTGAAACTATGCTAGTAATTCAATTAGCAATTCTTTGTATATGTTGTAAGTGGAAGCAGAATTAGGTGGAAACGGAATTTTTATATAAACCCAACATTTTGGGGTTGATTTTATCATATGTATGTTGTAAGTGAAAATGGAATTAAGTAGATTCGGAATTTCCAAGGTAAATTAAGGTTAGGGTAAGGATGTATATATGATAAAATCAACCCCAAAATGCTGGGTTTATATAAAAATTCCGTTTCCACTTAATTCCGCTTCCACTTACAACATTAATATCGATATTTGCAGTAAGCAATACTACTTACTAAATTATGTATACTGCTGGGTCCTAGCTCTCCCACAAAAAATGTCCACCCCGTGATTTTTGATCAATCAAATTTCAAGATCAGGTGTAATGTAAACAATCAAAGCGAAACCACCTTTTTACAAAAAACGGAACTCGAAATTTTAATTAAGAAACCGCCTTCTGCGGCCTAATTAAAAATGCATTCGTGAAATTTTATTACTAAACCCAAACTACAGCGCAGTTTTATTCTTGATAAAAAAATTACTAAAAATACAACTTTTGTTAAAACGCTATCTAATATTCAGTTCACGTACATACGTAGATCTAAATCGTATTCAAGTTGTTAATTATTTTATTGTTTAGAATTTAATATATATTTATATAAAAGATGATATACAAGGTTTGTTTGTTTGACCGCGGTACGTAACTATAACTGATAAATCGTAAACACTTATATATACTGCATAAATTGTATTTTTTATTTATATAAAAAAAGCTCAAAGAAAATACAAAAGAATTTTATTGTTGTTTTTCCAAATCTTTCCGTGATCATTGTATCGACTAATTTAACAATATAAAAAAAAGTTAGTTATTATTACAACTATAAGTACATATACAAAGCAAAGTCGAAATAGTAATGAAAGAGGTTAAAGGAACAGTGTGACATGGCTCTAGAGACGAGAATTTCACAAAACTTCCTGACCACATAAGGGATAAATAACCTGCGCTGTTCGCCACAGGTTTTCCTTAAGAGCGGAAGCGACAAAACCAGAAACAACATTGCTTTGGCATCCGTGTCCGCTTCAGAGACCATTGACAATGGTTGCTAGTGTAGTTTTTTACACTTGGCAAAAGTCATCGTTCTCTGCAAGAAGTCCTGATACCGAAAATCCTCATCTCTCTTACACTGACGATTCATGATAACGCTTACTCCTCTCGCTAATACTGCTTCAATACCATATATATATACCTTCGATAGCAGTAATCACTCCGTATTAGTCTGAGAGAAAACCAAAACGAGTCAAAAAAAACAGTTCTAACAGCAACGACTCCAACGACGAAATCACGCTTGAAAGAAAAGTTAGTAATAAGAAAAAAACTTAAATTCCAATAACGACGACTCTAACGACGAAATCACATTTGAAAAAAAAATATTAATAAAAACAGAAAAACAAAAAAAAAAGTAACGTAACGCCTCCAACAATAAGCTTACCCGACTTCAATGTCGATTCTAATAATTTCAATAATAATGATGGCTTCAACGACGAAAACGGCAAACCACACCATAGAATCACAAGAAAACAGTTGAGCTACAAAAACCGCCGTAGAGCCACTATAAAGACCGGTGTAGAGCCACCACAAAGATCGCCATATAACCACCACAAAAAAGTCGTTAAGCTACACAAAGAACGTTCAAGAGCGTAGCTAAATCCAAGAACGTTACGAAATCACCACAAAAAGACCGAAGATACCACAGAAACGCAGAAGAAGGCCAAAAACGTGTTAAAACACCTCAGAAACACTATAATATATATATATTAGTGTAAATACACGTATTGTAATAGTGCTGTAGTGACAAAATGAAATGAACAAAAAAAATATTTATATATTGTGATGATCGTCAAACTCATGTGATTGGCTGATTATGTGGGGGAGTAACACAAACCAAAAAAAAGGAAATCGAATTTT